TAAATATAATTCAAAAATAATGGATCTTATTGGTGGTACTTCAAAGTATGAAATGTTATATTCATTTCAAAGAATTAATATCCTCCGTACTGTTATATGTGTAATTTCTGGAACACTATTTTTGCTCTTATTTTTATTTATTCTATATAAGGTTAATTATTATGTATTATACACATATAAATGACACAAACTTTTTTTTTAAATTTTTAAAAAAAACAAAGGATATCCTAATATTTTATAGATATAATAGCTCTATTTCTTTTAATTTGCATTAGTTCTGCAGAGATATTTCATGCTTGCATAGTGGAATAATAAGAAAGAGAAATTCACGCAATAATATATACGAAGAATGGAATATTTTAACATTTTCTCATCTATCACACAACAGTACAAAAAATAGAAAACATAATATATCATATCATTCAGCCTAATTCTATCATCATGTACATGTACTAAAGAGAATTTTTTGTTTAAATATGATATAAAAAAAAATTAAAAAAACATGGTACCGAATATTATTATAAAAAATTTCATAATAATTAAATAATCCTTATAATGTATTATCAATGAAACAATATTAATTTCTCAGTTTAGCTGGATAATAAATCAGTATAAAAAGCAATATAACCTTTAATATGATATTAATTAAGAATATGAGTAATTAATATAAAGAGAAGTTGTATTTTCCCTGTTTGTCCTTTTTTAATATGCAAAACTTTGCATATTCTTATTTTCCTATTCTTATTCTGTTTTTTTAGGTTTAGTGTTCAGGGTTCAGATTTTAGGTTAAAGTTTCATTGCTTAGGGTTCAATGTTCAAGTTATGTGTGGGGGGTAATTTTCATGATTTATGTTTAGATTTTATCGTATAAATGTTAGTATTGAAGATTTTTTTTTTCGTGTTTTTTATTGCTTTAATTTATATTTATTTTTCTGTTTTATATATATTATTATTTTTTACTTAATTTTCTATATTTAACAATATTATGTTTTATTAAAAAATATATATAACATTTTATTATGGGTATTAGGTGAATTGAATATTTTAGTTATTTTGAGACATTTGTAGAATTATAATATAATTTACTTATTTCTATGAATTCTTAATTGTTTTTGTACATGTATTTAATGTTTATAAATTATATAACATGTACATAATATTAGAATATTTCAGTGATATAATAAATGTTATATGTAAGTCTTTATAAAATTATTATTTGTTGAACATATTTTTATGAATAATATATGTACCTTATATTAATTATTACTATATGCATATATAATTAAATGATGTATTAGGATTACGTATTTTCTCTTTGAATTTAATAGCTCTTTAATACTTATTAATTTTTTTTTTAATTTTTATTAATTTTTTACAGTCATATTAATGAAATATATTGTTTTATTGTGATCATTTTGATCATTTTATAAAGATGCATACGATATGCATTAAAAAAATAAATTATTCGTTATTCTTTTATAGTTGTTATATACTGAGAATATAGCAATATATATACAAAATTTACTGTTTTATTTACTAGTTTTAATAAACATAATACAAATTATTAAAATATATACATATTATTTTGTTTATAAAATAATATAAATATTTATGATATAATTTTTACATATGATGGTGATTTATATATATATATATATATGTACAATATTTTTTTTTGTTCGTCAAATCATTATAATTTTGTTTAAATTATCACTGTTATATAATAAAAATTTTCAATAGAATTAAATTTTTGAATAACTTTTTTTAATTATATAGAAATGCGTAAATTATATTTTTATAAAAATTGAATAATTTCCTTATTCATAATACATTTATTATCGTTTATATTGTGAATAAACTTAAAATATAATTTAACGAGTAATAATGTTTGTTAAGTGGAAAAATTTTGACATAGTATATTATATTAATACATAAGTGCGGTCAAACATATTTCATATCATTTAAATTATTCGCGAATGTTATATTGTTTTGAAAATTTAAGATTTCTACGAAAAGTAAATACATATTATTTATTTTTTTATTAACATGAACAAATCTAATACACTTATTAAGGAAATTTAACTAATAGATAAAATAAAGCATAATAATATTTAATTTATGATATCAAAAAATAATATTCCTTAATATATAATTATATTCTGAGAAATATTTGTTATAATTTACATTTTCCTTATAAAGAGAAGATATACATATGTTCTATATACTATCATATCATCTTTTTTAAAATAAATAATAATATTCATTATATATGCCTCATATAATATAACACAAAAATTTATAAATATAATATATGGATCTTTTATATTCAATACCTTTTTTTAAAGAGAATTAGAGATCAGCTATAATATTAAAGGATAAATATGCATACGTGTAGATTGTAATGAAAGCATGAAGCATAGGTGCAACCATATAAGAAAATACTAAAAAATATTTTATTATGATATGGGGATAATGAAATATTAAAAAATAATAACAGTATATGATCAGATGTTTATGGTTACCTGAAATACATTTCTAAAATAAGTAGAATATTTAATATAATATAATTATATTTATCAATGCAAAAGAAAACTCTTTTAAAGATATGATAATTCACATGAAACTTGATATTGATAGAGAAAAAATATATAAAAACAAAGTGAAAAATATTAAATTCAACATTTATTAAATATTACAAGATTGAAAAATATTTCATTGCATTTTTATTTTTTATAAGTATAATATTTTTGTATTCACCACTACAAATAAAAATTGTGCGTTTTTTTTAATCCTTTTTACAAAGTTGATACATGCATTGAGATATTTAAAGAAGATATATACGTATTCAAATAATTCTTTACGTGAATTAAATAAGGAAAGACAAATATAAATAAAAAATTTTTTACAAGGAAACAAAAAATGAAATAAAAATGTCATATATCATAATGTGTCTGCCTAGGAGTAATTAACTTATTTGTAGTGAGGCTTCGAAAAATAGTATAATAAATATTTAAGAATATAAGTTTCATAATATTAAAACGTATACAGAAAATTATGAAAAAAAATAAGAAATTTAAAATTAATCTCATATGTGCATACATAAAAAATACAAATAAATATATCAAAATTACTATTTTATAAATGTGCAAGATATATATAGAAAATAAATTAATATAACACATTCAATTAAAATTGCAATTTTCAATTTTCACCTGAGTTAACATGTAAATATATATTTTCTCTATTTAATTACACAATATATAGTATTTTTTAATATAGAGACCCCTTATACGTGAATATTACAGTATATTAAAATGGGATATATATGACATTTGCTTATTTTTGTTTTTATCTATAGTTTATTGAAGAAAAGATACATTATATATATTCATAGTATATTTATTTTGAATATATTAATTTCTATATAGAAAAGTTATTATAAGGTTTTTACTACAATTATTACTATACATTTATATGAATACATTATAACATGATTTTCGCATATTAATTGTTTAATACTATTTATTTTGGTTAAATCAAATAATTGCAATGTTTAATGTATATAATACAAGAATTAGACTTTATAATAAAAAATATGGTGTCTACTCTTCATAGGAGCATTGTTCACATTTTTGTATGATTGGAACATATTATAATCTTCATCTACATTATTCCACTTATTTTGTTTTCTTTTTAATATTCCTTGAAAACATGGATTATATGGGGTCAACTAGTTAATAAAAAAAAATTATATTTTAAATAAATAATATATTAAAATTTTTTTAATAATTATGTAGCAAATTTATATTGTACAACAAATATGTATACGTAATATAATAATTACCTTATGCAGAATAAATAATGTTATTGATATTAATAATATCACAACAATTGTAATTACAATAGGAACTCTTATATTGTTTTTTTGGAACAAAGGTAACATTTTATGTGTTAATTGATCGAAACAATTAGTTGTACTTAGTGCATTATATGTTTCCCTAACATTTATTAATTCATAACAAAAATCAGGGTAACTATTGGATTCACATGAAACTTTGTATTTCATATATAGTTTAGCGCATTCGTTGGCATCATTGCATTTATTTTCACTTTGAGGACTACTATTATTCTGTATATAATTAATTTTAGTGTACATGTTATGCAGATCTTTGAGCTTTAACATTACATCTTCTGTAATAGTAGTATAATCACTTTGTGGGCATAATGTATTATGGCTTGTACTATCAGCAGAGATCAATGCTTTGTAAAGTTCATTAACCTTTTCAGTATTCCTTTTTTCATTATTATAATAATATAGCCAATAATACAAATACATGCAACTGAATTTGATAGAATTTGCAGTGTCCTGAACTACAGCACTCGTATAATTATCAAAATATTTGCATATGTTTTGAACATTATCACCAAAATATGGAAATTTATCCATAGTAATGTCATTAAAATTAACCTTATTATGATAACTATCACTTATTTTGGCTACACCCATAATTTTTTCATATTGAAGAAATTCCTTTGCAATTTTATACTAGAAAGAAATAAAAAATCATAGTATGATAAAAATTGTAATATACTATAATTTTTTTATTAGTTTTATTAAAAATTAATATATAAAAATGTAATAAAAAGTAATTTATATTAAATAAGTGCTGTACAATATCTTTAATCATCTTTTATATGATTATAATTTTTTAGAGAATATCTTGATAAAACAATGAAATACATGTAAATATATATAGAATTTTTTAAAATGTGAACTCACATTCTGAAGTAGAACAATTTTTTCGTTTATTTTTAATTATAGTATTGATGAAAAAAATGAACTAATAGATTAACCATTAAATTTTCTCTCATAAGAAAAAAAAAAGTATCATTATAAAATATAACATATATTTTCATTCTAAAGAAAAAAATATATAAATAATATTTACAAGAACTCAAATAAAATAAAAAAAGGAAATATGTTGACTGAGTATAACAGTTGTCTAAAACATAAAAATTATGTAATTATACATGTAATATAAACAACAAAAAATAATAAAATTATATACTATTAATATAAATATATATATAGCAATTTTTATTATTCCCTATTTCCATTTTTTTATAGTGATATGCATGATTTAATTAAACCTATATAAAATATTATAACATGTGATGTTTAAGGAAATATTTGTAGTTAATTTATTTCTCTTATGTAATAAATGGATTCAGATTTTTAAAGTGCCATATTATCATTTGCGTAAAATGTATATCAATACTATTTGTTTAATGTAATAATGGATGTAATAATATGTATGTCAGAGTATACATTTAAATTACAATAATATATAACATTCTAAATATTATATTTATATTTTCTTATTTATCTCATATAAGTGAAGCATATACCTAGGTTTCAAAAATTAATTTATTAAAAATTTAGACACTATGAACAAAACACATATATTAAGGTGATACATAAAACATGAATGATAAGTTATTTAAGCCATAGGTATTCATATACTATATTTTAAATTATTGTTTTCTTTGATCTATCAATTATTATCAGTTTTTATAGAAATGAAACGAATATACACAAAAAACTTTGGTTTTATAATATAATGAATATATAAAATATTTTAAATCGGGATTTTTCAAAAATTATTTACATCTGGTAAAATTTGAATAATGTTTTATTTATAATCATTATATATATATATATATATATAAATTATTCATTTTAATTATGTCAAACGAAACATTTTTATTTTATACTATAATAACACATTGAATGTATATTTTAATATATAGATAATAAGCGACATTAACATAAAAATTTTTCCTTCTATTTGTCCATATATTTTAAAAAATAAAATTTTTTTATAAATTTTTTTTTTTCTTTGTCCTCATTTTTTCGGTAAGAATTTAAAGGCATATACATTAATTTTATATAATAAGTATTCAACTTGCTTACTCACCATAATTTTGTGTGGCAGTTAATTAAAATTTATGAAAATTTTAATTCTTGGAAGAAAAATATATACTCTATTAAGAAATAAAAAATATTAACAATAATTACTAATTTCCATCATAATGGATTTGCTTTGCAATTTTATACATTGTAATAATTAAAAATAATAATCTTTTAATAAACAACTAAATTAGCAGAAAAAGGGATATATGATTTATACAGAAAATTTTAAGTATTTAATTATGAATTTATTTACTATATTTTCACTCTATATGTTGTCACATATATATCATATTAATAGATAATTTTGCTTTAATATAAATAGAATTACAATTATTAATCAATAAAAATAGATATTTTTAATCGGGTAAAAATTAATTTATTATGATATAAATTCAATGTTGTAAAATGCGGAAATATACTTATAAATTAAAATTTTTTTTATAATTAATTATGTAAACAAAGTAATTAATTTTTGCGAATTCTGTGTAACGTAATAGTTTGTATCTAAAATTTATTCTGCAAACACTTCATTAAAAAGGATAATATATGTGAACTCTATACACAATGAGAATTTTGTACATAAATATGACACCGTAAGAGAATAACATATATTTTTTAAAAAAATATGGACCTGCATACACAGCTTACCTTTAATAACAAACAAATGAGTTCATTAAACTTTGCCAATGAGACAAACTTCTTTAATACATAATATATAAGCTAAGTATAAATATACAAATATAAAAAGAATGAACACATTTTCTAAATACATATAACCAAATTAGAAAATTCATTGCTTAATTTTATACAGGATTAGATTAAGTTCTAAACTAATAAAAAATGATGAATGGAAATCAATATGAAATATATATTTTTATGTTAACTGAAAAGACATTTATATATACCCAGGAATGATATCATAGAAAGGATATTATTTAAATTAATAAATTAAAAGAAAAATTCTTTATCATATTTTATATTTAAAATTTGATTGTTCATAAGCATATATTCATAATTTTTTTGTTGTCTATTTAATATTATTATATAAACATATATTACTGTCTTTTTTCAGCACATATATTTGTATATTAGTCTTAGGAAAAAAATAACATTTCTTTTTTATCCATTAAAGGAACACTATTAACATCTTATATTATGTATAGTAAAAAAAAAAAACATATATCCTTTATATATATAGTATGTTGTAATACGACATTATATTTATGTTATAATAAATATATCTAAAATCTCATAAGCGTATACAATGAATCAATGCATAATAATACATATTATAAATATATATTATTACATAATGTATTATAATTGTGATAAACGAAATATATAAAAAATAAAAAGTGATTCCCTAACATAATGTAATAATTCTCAATAATACGTATAACAGTGCTTATGTCTTACTGTATATTATCCTTAAAATATATATAATTATTATATTTTCTGTATAAAAGATAATAATGATTTAATATTTTATTTATTTTATATTTATTCTATATAAGTATAATTATATTTTTCAAATATATTAACTTCATAATATTGAGAATAATTTTTTTTAATAATTGCAATTTGTTGTGTACAGTTTTTGTATTTTATAAGCAATATTGTGGTATTTTCAATATTATACTATAATTTATTTATATAATATAAGTAAAAATTATATTATAATATATGAAAAATAATATATTTTTTTTAATTATTGAATTATATATATTTAAATGTATTAATATAGTGTTACATTTTTCTATCAATAAATCGAATTATTTAATTTAAAACTAATAAAATATATAATTTAATTGAAATTATAAGAAAAATTATAATATGAATATATGTATGAAAATTTATAATAGCACCTTTCCTCTTAACAACTGTTTAATCATTAAAATCTCTATAATATTCATTAATATATAATTACCCTATATAGTATACATAATTATTGGAAATTACAATAATTCATTTTAATATATATTTAGAACTGCCACTATATACTGATACATATAACATTTATTTTTATATAACATGGTATACATTTATAACACAATATATATGATAATATAGAAAATAATATTAACTTTTATATAATTTAATATATAGAACATGATATAATTATATCTTCTTTTTATTTAAAAGTTATAATTATATATTTTATAAGGAAAAGATAAAATTGCGTTTTATGAAGCTAAATGATTTATCGTTTTTTCTTTTTTGTGCGACCGAATAAAAAAATATGTTACTTGTCTTAAATTACTTTATCCTTATGTTTGAGTGTACATAAGTGTTGATAAATAGATTTAAAATCTTACTTTTATCATTTTAGTAATTTAAATACTAAATGTGATATTTCATTATATCACATAAATTTATTTTTTGGAAATTCATATTTCATTTTCTAAGGTAAACTATTTTATTTACATTAGTATTTCATAAATATAATCTTATCTGAAGTAATGATAATGGAAGTACGCTTTAATTATTGTAATATAATTAAATGCCCTATTATATATGTATATAATTTTCCGTGACAACTACACAAATTTGTAGAATATAATATATTTTTTGTTATGCAATTATTTTTTTTCATTTTAGAGATATATACTAGGATTATTTGACATATGTAAAGAAAATATGGACAATAATAAAGGTAATGTAAGTGAAAATTTGAAGACACTGTGTTGTAGAATTAATTTAACTTTACGTGGTGTTCCAAGAATAAATGAAAATATCTACCTCCAATCTATGTATTATTAAGAAGACATTTCAAATATAATTGATAATTCATTATTAGAATCCATCTGCAAATACTTATTTTATTGCATATTTTATACCTACAATAATATAAATAATATTGTCGATGACAAGAAAATTTATGTTGCTCTTCTAAGCATATATATGAGTAACATTGGAGAAAATAATTGCAATATTTACAGGATATCCTTTAATGGAGATTTTTTACTAATATTCAGAAATATGCATATCATACATAAATATTTTAAAGAAAAGAAACTATGTATATAGGAAGTTTATTAAATGATCAAAAATAATTATTGATACGGTAAGCACTATTAAAAATAATTACATTGAAGAATTCAAAACACCAGTAAGTAAAGTATGAACATTATTAATCTTCAAGAAAACTACCATTAGAACATCAATTTCAATTACATATTTTGCAACTCTATTAATATTAGTCTTTTTATTCATTTTGTATATGGTAATCACTATAACATTTATATTCATCTACACATTAATATATTTTAATTATTCTAAATTAAGAAAATAAAAAAATATTATTAAAAAAAATTCTTCTTTATGCATAAATATATATTCTTTTATATATAATATTATATAACAATGATTTCAAGCTTACACTACAATAAAAATGGATTAACGATGGATAGTAATAATACGGACGATAAATTGAATCAAATACAACCATTAGAAATATCACCAAATATTTCAAATGGTAATAGATATATGTTACTATATAAACAAGACAATTATTAGTATTAAGATATATTACAAATAAAATATATTTCATAAATAGTTCTAGAAATCTTACGTTGACTACATTTCTCTTAATATATTTAAATAAATATGATATATAAATATGATTTTTGTTTGACATATATAAGCATTAATATGGTACAAGAGCTTAGAGTTTAAATTTTATTCTTAGAAGTAAGTGTTCTCTGTTATTGTGCC